TTCAGAGTTGGCAAAAGTACACATATCCTTCACTCAAGTAGAAGTTCAGATACTCATGTTTAAAAATACTCTGGTAAAAGTTGAAGTACTGATTACACTTTTTTACTCAAGTTAAGTATGGGCCAATACTTCTATAAAGTATAGAAGTATGGGCTCTGACATGTACTTAAGTAAAAAGTAGCCAATACTACCTGTTTAGTGTCACGCGGGTAACAGGACCTCACATCATATTAATACATTAATACAAAAGAACTTACATTTCAAATTTTGTTAGCTAATGAATGTATCCAGGCTGAAAAAACACCATGCAGAACAGGGCCAGACTGGGACAAAATTTCAGGCCGGGAAATCTCACACTCATCCAGGCCATCCCATATACCCACAATAAATTCTGAAACCATGGACAGCACTATTTTTTTGTATGGCCATCGCATAAAAAAGTTTTAAATCCTTAAATCCGTGCAAAATAACTATATTTTCTAAATTGCCTAAATGTCAAAATTAGTACAACAATAACTGCACCATGAAAATATCTTTATAGCAAAATCCTAATATTGAATATGTTATTGCATTATCATGAGTCATATTTTTCCCTTAACTTAATTAAACCATATAAATTAACCATGGTTTTATTATGTGTCGAATTATGCACAATACGCACAATCCCGCGCCAAAATTCAGGCCCTGCTTTACTAAGTAGCTAAACAAAGACAGAACTACAGTAGCCTATTTACAGATGAAACTGACCTGCACTTGAAGTCCTTAACAGATCAGTAGTTTTGCCTCTCTGCTCCGCCATTCTCGATTCTCGCACTGATTACTCTGATCACAACCTTTTGGCGGAGATGCGGAGTGGGGAGCGCGCATGAGAATCAGAGCATTGCCAGTCAAGATTAACCGATTAATGATTTATTAGAGATTTATTATCGAATGGCGATAATACAGATAAAGTAAAGAGCCTGTTTTGAAAATGTAAGATGTAGAAAGTACAGATATTTGTGTAAAAATGTAAGGAGTGAAAGTAAAACGTTGTCAGAAAAATAAATAGTGAAGTAAAGATACCATAAGGGTACTGATACCAGAAAAGTATTTGTACTTCGTTACTTCCCATCTCTGTAAATATTGCCTGTGACCCCTTTTCCTTCATCTAACTTGTACCATAATCTTTCAGACCTACCCCTAGTCCTGAATTTCATTGTCATATTTCTAATGAAGTTGAAAAAAGTTAGCAAAGACCTAAAGTTGCAACTACCAAAAAGAGTGTAGATGGTTGAGCATACGATAATCTCTTGTGTGACAGAATCTCCTGTCTTTACCTACAGTGCTTCTCATTTGTAATCAGATTTTCAAAAGCTAGGGCCAGTTATGCAGCTCACCAGTGATGTCGGGTTATCCAGCTACAGAAACACTTATAAGCAACTACTGTAAGTACAGTGACCTTGTGACCACCAGTGATTAAAATTTCTGTAAATGTGAACAGGCATAAATTCAAGCCTTAACCTCCACTCCTTTTCTCCAGTCCATATCCCAATCTTGGAAAACTAGACATGCTTCCGGTTCTCGATTAGGATCTGCTGAATAGGACCCACTGTTTAAAAACCTAACCCTAATATCCTGATTAGTTGATAGGACTGTTTTGAAATCACATGTTCTCTTATTTAATCTTATTATTGAATAATGTGCTTTGCTGTACATTAAACAATTTAATCTTCTATTGTTTTGGGTTTGTACTGGGTAGAAATAATGGATCCACAAGCTTTGTTTGTGATAACTGAGTATTAAGGATGAAAAATCATAAAGAAAACATGGCTTGTCAGAAAGGCTCAGATTCTGTTTTTTGCTTCCTGTGGGGTGCTGGGGTTTGAGTCAGAAATTTGCTGTCATTTTGGTGCTAATCAAAGGCACCACTTTCACAGTCACGCGCATTTCCCCAGAATCAAAGACTCCACACCCAACTGCAAACAATTTGATGCCTTCTAAACCGGGACTGATGCATGGCTGATATATTTCATGTGCAGGCCCAAGTGGCGCTTTATGGAAACAGAAAGGTCCTATGACGTACCCTTTGTGAGGTCGACATTAATATGTCTGCAACACAAAATGCTTTAAACTGCAACGGATGGATTTTTCTGCTTATGTCAGCCAGGTTTGCGACAACATCAGCATGCCAATAAGTCTTTCCAGAATGTGAGCTTTACATTAGTCATCAGTCCATTAACAGTCAGAATTTTACTTAACAGCACGTTCTCTGTTCAGCATGAATTTTCACTGATGAAGATCATACCTCAGATGAAGATCAACCACAAACATGTGGTTCCCCACTGAGGGCGTCTACTTCTTGATGCTTGGAGCAAAAAGTATGGAGGCATATCTGAATGTGAACTCAAATGTGAATGACTGGTCTCGTTGTCTGAAGGGAACACAGTGGAAGGTCAGCTTTGGCTAATGGCGTCAATCTGCCACCCTGGAATAAAAAGTGCTGATGATGAAATTCCAGCAGAACCTACTCCATAATTGACAGCAAACTCAGACAATGAGGTCCTCTAATCTAGTTTTAATATGGTACAGTATATTCCATGACATCCTCACACCTACAACCCTACAAGTGGGCTGAGCAGGAAGGAAATATTAAAATGAACACCTGTAGATTTATAATTCCCTTGAAATCAATTTTTGTAATTTATTGTACATGGAGTGCACTTTATTTGTTGTGCTGAACAAAATGTGTTACTGCTGATTTGAAGGAATACTTCAGGCTGGATGCAATGATACATTTACAATAGATGCTGTGCAGACAAGAATTATACAGTTAAAAACAGCTGTGAAGTGGTTTAAGTCGTCCTTTTGAGAATGGATTGCTTTTCATGGGGTATCTTTACTTTTGGTTACTTGGTTAAGCTTTAATCAGTTATACAAATGGGTCTTGTGAATTGGTAGCGATGGATTCAGTGATATGGAAATAAAACAAACCATATTTAAACTTAATAAAAAAATGTAATACATATTCAATCATTTACTCATCTGGCACAATAATATACTGTAATGTCTTTATGTATTATATATATATAAAAACTATAGTGATCTACATCAGACAATAATAATAATAACATATTGTCAGATCAACTGTGTTTTTTTTTTGGGCACAACCTCTGCTCTTATGACTGGAGGAACAAAGATCACATACATGTGTATGTAGAAAAACTTTTAGTTGTTCTCGTTAGTGGTTGATATTTCTCTAAAAAATATAGAGATACCTTCTGCCAAAACACCTTGCAAAGAAAAGATCGTCGATATTTCTTATTAACTGTCTAGGGCCAGCAACGTTTCCCCAGCTGTCTCATTATGAAAGGTTATGTATAACACTAATCCTTCATTAACATCACCCACTGTGTGTAGAAACAGGTGGGCAGGTCTTCTGCAATCCTAAATGTTCCCCCTGAGCCAGACGAAACATCTAATTTACAGAATTATCTCTGCTAACTGACCGCCCTGACTTAGATGGCTCGCCAGAGCAGAGATTAGATTTGTTGTTGATGTTGGGTGGGAGTTTCCTACCATATTTTGTTTCCGATGAAGTGTCGTTTTTCGCAGTTAAGTGGATGATCTGTAAAAATCGTTCATGACATTAAATCAGGGTGTTAGTAACAGCTGGGTCATGGAAATTGGTAAACTAATTAATCAAAGTCTGTTTACCATAACCTTCCAGTAAACTTTTCAAAGGGCCATTACATAACATCTAAGGGGAAATTTTGGAGTGATGTTACACAATCTTTTAGTTGCAAATTTAGTGTACATGATCGTTTTCTTCTGCATGCAAATCTGATCTGTTTTTCAAGTGGATTTTTTGACTGCAGAAGTGAAACGTGTCCCATGTTGTTATAACTGTCACACTTCAGAGGTTTCTGACTGATGCTTGAAACCCTCTGCTGTGATTTGATTGGTAGTGGTGCCATCCATTCGCCCCTCAACTCCATGATCTAGCATCATGGTGTCTTTTCACTTCCTGTTCCCACACTTATTTCATAGAGCTCCACTGGAGCTCAAACGGATCTGTAAAAATCGTTCATGACATTAAATCAGGGTGTTAGTAACAGCTGGGTCATGGAAATTGGTAAACTAATTAATCAAAGTCTGTTTACCATAACCTTCCAGTAAACTTTTCAAAGGGCCATTACATAACATCTAAGGGGAAATTTTGGAGTGATGTTACACAATCTTTTAGTTGCAAATTTAGTGTACATGATCGTTTTCTTCTGCATGTAAATCTGATCTGTTTTTCAAGTGGATTTTTTGACTGCAGAAGTGAAACGTGTCCCATGTTGTTATAACTGTCACACTTCAGAGGTTTCTGACTGGTGCTTGAAACCCTCTGCTGTGATTTGATTGGTAGTGGTGCCATCCATTCGCCCCTCAACTCCATGATCTAGCATCATGGTGTCTTTTCACTTCCTGTTCCCACACTTATTTCATAGAGCTCCACTGGAGCTCAAACTGCAAACCGAGATCTTTCTTGTGCTCAGATTCACCAAGTCATAGATTGTTTCCAGATAAAGTGGGGCTTTTAAATGATCTAAATTTGCCTGTTTACACTTAATTTCGAATTCCAAATCTTTCTGTTCTTTGTTGTAGTACAATCATTTGCGTGTCTGCTAAAACAGAAAGGCCTGACATTTCAAACTAAATTAATAAGGAAACAAAGAGCAATAAAATCCATACAACAACAACAGTGCATTTATCAAGAAAAGGGCTTAAATGATGAATCAGTCCTCAACTCTGTTTTGCAGGGGATATGACATGCATATTTCCACCAGTGTCCACATTTTTTTGGACTTGGCTGGAGGTTCAGGTCATCAATCATTGTGTTTTTTTTATATATTTATTTATTTTTGTGTGTGTACTTTACTAACAATATCTATGGTATTTGGACATAGATTATGGCTACAATGATCACTTTTCTATATGAGAAGCGTGCTATATTGATTAATTATTGGTTTTGATAGGTAATGCGATGCTGTTGAGAGTGCTGCCATCTGTGTATCCACGACAACCAGAGCCCATCCATCAACACATCCGTGAACTGATGGCGATGATGTCCCAGTTGGACCAGGCCGGCAGACAGCACCTGCTCAGACTACTGCAGATGATCTCTGAGCATCACCCCCTGGTGAGTGAAGGAGAGACAAATGAGTGTGCAAAAGAATGAAGGTGGTGTTTGAGGAGGAAGTCTGGTCAAGGTGAGTTATTCTGGGGAACAGTAAAAGAATTCGAAGGTCACCAAGGGAGTAGAGGGGTGGATACATAAATGTGTACAAAGTGAGTGATTTAGCATTTATTTTAAAGCAGACAGCTGCAGTACAAGGTCAAACTCGGTAAAATAGTTTAATGGTTAACACCTCTGGCGCTACCATAGTTGAGCAGCCGCCAAACGGATGGGGAAATATCAGAAAGCACATCCTAAACTGTTGGCACCCCTGGCTCTGACTGAAGATAAATTTACAGGAAAAGAAAAGAGGAAACCACAGTTTTGGCAGAAACAGAACCAGTCATCTGTTTTTTTACGTTTTGAAATGCTTTTTGAGGGGGATTGAGGGGCAGCCTATGCGTGGAGTCAGAAGAATGCATTAGTCATGAAGAGATAATTTTGCATTGGGTAATAAGCACATGCATATCACTCAGCTCATCAGTGAAAACATTGGATACTTGAATAGTAGTAAGATTAGGAAAGATTATGAGGCATTTCATAATAAAGCTTCTGTTGTCATTTCCTTTTATTTATATTTACCGAAATAGGAAATGACAATTCAATGAAAAATTTTACTATTTTCAGGGATTGATATTGTCATTCTGAAAGCCCAAAGTCCAAAGCCATTTCCATCATAGAGACTGAGGGGCTATCATAAAATAGGATTTTAAATGGCGTCTTTAAGGGGATAATTCAACCGAAAATTTAAATTCTGTTATTAATTACCGTATTGCCCCGAATATAAGACGACCCTGATTATAAGACGACCCCCCTTTTTCCAGATGTACCTTTTGAAAAAACAAATCTTGTTCAATTATTTTCATATTGCATATTTTTCCTATTTTCATTTTTGTTTTGAAAGTATGGTAAAAACTGGTAAAATGTACCAACAATCACATTTAAAAAATATACACTTTTTGATATACCATTAAAAAAAAAAAAAACAGGTAGCCCATCTGAATTAGGACATTTAGGCTATCCATCTAATAGTAGCCTACCAAAATCTTATTAACAGTAGAAGTAGAGTTGGTTCCATCAGGCTAACGTGACAGTCACGACTCATGTAGCTGTAAGGTTTTCTTTCTCTTTCGTTTTTACTCGCGATCTTTACAACACGCATTTACGTATTTCATGGCACACTCGTTTTATGCTTATTTGGCACCACCTATTGTTGTGGGTGTATTATTGACATGTCAAAGTCTAGACCCTGAATATAAGACGACCGCGTTTTTTCAGATGTATTTCCAAGAAAAAAACATCGTCTTATATTCGGGACAATACGGTACTCACCCTCATGTCATTCCAAACCTGTAAAACCTTCGTTCATCTTCGGAACACAACTTAAGATATTTTTGATGAAATTCGAGAGCTTTCTGACCCTGCAAAGACAGCAACGCAACTGAAATTTTCAAGGCCCATAAAGGTAGTAAGGCTATCGTTAAAATAGTTAATGTGACATCAGTGGTTCACCCTTAATTTTATGAAGCTATGAGAATACAATTTGTGCGCAAAGAAAACAAAAATAACGACTTTATTCAACAATTTCTTGTCTTCCATGTTAGTCTTTGACACATGCGTGTGCATTCCACTGCTTGTAAACAAGGCGCAGCGCATCTGGGTCCTATGTCAGAACGCTGGCTCCTGCATCAGCAGCATCATCACACGTATGCGTCGTGGTACTCTCGTGAATGCACATCGACTGACACGGAAGAGAAGAAATTGTTGAATAAAGTCATTATTTTAAGTACAATTTTGTCTGTATTATTTGTGTCCCCTTCAAAAATTGCTCTTGAGAAAGTTTGTTTATGGTCCCCTCCCCAACTGTTAGATGAAATTTACACCCGTGATACGCAGTATATTTTAATCCAACGGTACCGTATATCCTTGGTCATATTTCTGTTTCACCAGCTAAGATCTGTTGTTGAGCTATATGACTCATACCAGTCATACTAGTTATTCGAACAACACTGAACCAGCACCCAGCAGCATAGACTAGCATAAAAATTCATGAAAGATTTTCTTTTTAAATGGATGGATTGATAGATAAACAAATAGACAGGTACATCAATAGCATTCCTTCTATAGTAAATCAGAAATTATGTGGGAGAGGAGATACCCCAGGCTCTCTCTGTCCCAGTGCTGCTAGTTTATATAGTGATTTGGATGCAAACGGGATTAATAAAGATTAGTTAGTGGTTTCCACATCCTGACAGAGGCTGGGAATCCTGCTTCTCACAGGACGTCCTGTCTACTGCCCTCCCAGCTACACCAGATCCTCTCTTCGTCCTCTCAACCACTGCCAATTCAAAGGTGAAGTGTTTTACAAAGAAACATTTGAGAATTAAGCAAATCGTCGCTAAAAGGGTGTAGTTGGATTCATTTCATGCTAGAGAAAAGAGCTCATGTAACCCATGTGGCTCATTTGCCTCTAGTCATCACTGCAGTTTGTCATGAATGTCAACCAACACACAAGATGATCTGTAGTTCTTCTGTGAGTCACTGTTCGTTTTAAATGTCATCACTGCTTTGCTATAACAGATAGATAAATCTAACTGTCCATAGTGGGAGGATGATTATGAGTTTCCTTCTGCTCCACATTTTTTCTCCTGTTACTGTCTTCACTAGTTTTTCTCTGCAAGCTCGTATAGGAACCAGGGACTCTGGTTAATGAGTGGGCGGCACTGAAATCCACCAACCAGAGTGCTGTGGTACTTTACACAGCACGATTACAACCATATGGGACCTTTGATGAAAGAAAAGTTCAGGACCAAATGAGTGTGTTTGTGGTGTTTTTACTATTTTTATTACATCCCCACTGTGAAGAGTCCAGATTGCATTTCCTTAGGTGCTTCCAAGAACAGCAGAGAACTGTAGAAGTGCTTTAATACCCTCAAAATACATGTGTGTGTGTATATATATATATATATATATATATGTGTGTGTGTGTGTGTGTGTGTGTGTAGTTTTTTTCCCCCACATTTTTTAAAGAGATATAACAATAAAAAAAAAAGGTTATACATTCCGTGTTTGGGTCATTTTAAACCTGGGTATGTATGGAGTACCATTGGTGTCAAAAATACTTTTTGTTATATTATCTGTGAATTTAAATCGGTGTCAGATACATTTGTACAAATATATTTAGTCTTTTCCCCATATCTCACACACTTTTGGGACTGAATTTTGTTGGTAAACATATGTACACCTATTGACAAACCAATGCAACATTAAAATGTATAACTTTTTTTGGTGTGGTTCATGTGTAATTTCAAATTTCAAAGAAGTTTTTAATTAATCAAAAAGGGGTAAATGCAGTAAAAACATGGTAACATTCAAAACTTTTTCACATTCACTCATTAATGAGAAGCTGCTCTTCAGATACAATATGGTTTTAGTTGAAAAATATTAAGTTATGACTGTATTATATTAAAAAAAAAGATTCTTCGGGTCAAAATGGATTTTGAATGCATTATGAGGGTTCAACTTTAGCCTTGTCTTTTTGTCTCCTCAGGTATTGTCGTCTTTGGTGCCATCGTTGATTGTTTACATCAGTGATAGTGAGCTCAGTGACACTGCCTTGAGTGTGTTGGTGAACGTGGCTCAGGCAAGCCCCGCCTCTCTCGTTCCTTTCCTGTCCACCCTAAGAAATGTGGGTCAGAAGAACCCTTGGTTGTTGGGACACATCGCTAAGATCCATGGGGCAGTGGGTCTGACTAGTGAGGTGGGCATTTGCATCACAATACATGTTCATGCATCAAATCCAGATAAACACTTAATGCGCTTGGTCATACTGTATATCAGAGTGCTGAATCTGCCCCAAGATTCATCAGACTGGTCCATTGTTGTGTGTCAAAAGTATTTTTATTTGTTGCTTTGTTTTAAAGGGGCATTCAGTAGTTCTCTAAAGTATGCATCACTGTTCTTCATGTTTTTAAGGGCCGATATCACAAAGGTGTACTGACATGGTTCAGCATGATTGTCTCCGAGTGTTTTTTTTTAACACTGATACAAGTGAGTTTTAGAAAGCACTCTGCACAAGAATTAATTCCCTTAAAAAAAGGGATTTAGTGAAACATTGCAGGTCACATCATTTTAGCATGTGTACACCATTCAGATTACTCTTCACAAAAACAATTCGTTTCTTAATGTGTAAAACTTTTAAAATTAACAACAAACTATTAAATGCACCTTTAAACATATGCGTCGTCACCGATAGCCTCGTGGGCAGCGTGTCGACATGTAGCGCCATTGCGCTTCAGGCGCCCCGTGTTCGAGTCTCGGCCCGCGGACCTTTCTCGATCCCCCCCCCTCTCTCCCACTTTGCTTCCGGTCTCACTACTATCCTATCAATAAAAGGCAAAAACGCCAAAAATAAATCTAAAAAATATATATATATATATATGCTGTTCATGGCGTGAGATGCTGAAAAAAGTCTAGCGCATATTTACAAGGCCAGTACTAAAAATAGTGCATTCAGAATGGAGCAAGACCTTTATGAAAAGCTCCTGGCAAGCTTTATTACACTTACAGTATGTCATGACACGTTACCTATAAGACTTTGCAGTAATAGCTTCTTTTCTTCTTATTATCTTATTGTTCAAATGTTAAAGTTTCATACCACTTGTAACACTGGGAGGTCTTTTTCTTCTCACATAAAACAATAGTTTCAATTTATTTAACATACATTTATTTGCTGTACGATATCCCTCAGAAAGCTTTCTGCTGAAGAAAGCTATCACAGTCCTTCTCAAAAAACAGGGATCTTGGTAATATGCATGCCAATAGGAACCTTTAAAGTTTGACAGCAGTCACTGTGAGATGTATTGCTGAAAGAGTTGAATATGTTACAGAAGTGGTGCTTTGATGACAGTAATGGTGTTGCTTTAGGGGTGAATGTAGAAATAGAGAGAAGTTGTAGCACGCTAAAACTGCTGTGATCTTTATTAGATGTGAATTCTTGTTGGAATTGAAGTTATATGCTGAAACAGCCATGCGGTGCATTTTTCTCCTGGTTTCTTCATTTGGGATTATAATACAGATCTATGCATCATTACAGTTATTTTAGCAGGTGATGAAGAGTATAGATGAATGATGAATGTGAATCGTATCACTCATCAGTTGTGTCCGTGTGTGTGTGTGTGTGTGTGTGTGTGTGTATATCCTGTGGTTTCTTTGTGTTAGTATTTTGGCACCCTGGACTGTTTTTTTCCAGAGTTATCAGAAGTATTCCATCATATTAGAGAAATTAGGAGAGCATAAAAAGCTAGTTAGCATGTACTTTTTTTTTTAAAGTCAAGAAAGTTCAAAAACAACAGAGAAGTTAATTATACCACTCCATTATAAACCACAGTCAACCACATTTACATTTAGAGTCTCAAGTGTTTTGAGAGCGAACTTTCTAAATATATTCAACTACTGTTTTGTCTTATTTCACGTCCATTAGACTGTAGCCAGGGGTGTCACACCCAGGGGTAAAACTGGGACAAAGTGCATAGGACCCAGAGGCTGAGGGGGCCCACAACCATACCCTTTTGGGGGCCCGACTGAGAAAATATGTTTCATTTATTGCGCATAATATAATTTTTCTTTCATTTCATTTTCAGCGTGAAATGTGGCATTGCTTGACAGTTTTTGTAGGATTCACTCAAACCATAGTATATGAATATGGTGGTCAGTGTGGTATTGCCATAGGATACAGACACAGTACTTCTTGTAAGGGTCATTATGTACTTTATTTGTGGTTTTGAATATTTTCCCTACTTTCCCACCAAACCTTGAAGAAATTATCACATCTTTTATAAGAGATCAATTTAATTAGATTTCTCCCTGGCCCTTATTCTCATTTCCTTTTTGTGATGTGTGACATGCCTGTTAAACCCGCATAAACAACAGAAAACACACACGGATTGGTCCTGCGGCGGCTCCATAACAGTCACGCTGCAAAATACATGATGTTTTTTGATGCAACACATCATCATATATTCCTACATAAATTTTGATGACATGTTTAGCTGTGTACTTTCCTCCTCTCTACTTGTTTATTTGCAGATGTCCTCCTAAGTGTTGTTTGTGAAGGGATTGCAATGATTTGAGAGCATGTTTGGTTTCGAGAGGGCAAGTTGATTTGTCTTTCTTTTGATCCATTTCAGTTAAGCAAAGTGCTGCAACTAATTTGTTTCTGTAATTGTGACTGTGGGTTGTTGTTGAGAGTTTGACTAGCTATGAAGTAGACAGGACAGTTTATTTCTCAAACTTTCCAAAGTGTTGATAGTAATGATGTAAACCATGTAATCCTTGCCAAAAATCATGATGCATGTACATATTTTGTCTTAGGGTGAACAAAAAAAGTAAAAAACAAATTGTGTGTGCGTGTATATATATATATATATATATATATATATATACATACATATTTGTTTGATACATTTTTCTGCTGAATAGTTAATATTAATAAATGCTGTCAACATTACATTTATGTGAAATATTTAGAAAATGGAATTAAACTTTTAATTTGACTTCCCATCATGCTGAGGAAAAAGTCCAAATTATGTTACTCCTCTGTGTGAAAATGTTAAGTCATGTTTATTTTTTGTAATGGGGCACAGCTAAATATTAGGGCTTTGGTAGTTCAAATAAGTTGGCTATGGAATACACTCTAATTCCATGACAGGTATGTGTGTTACAATGGTGTGTGTGTGTGTCATTCTCTTGGTATAGGGTCCAGCGTGCAAGCTTGCCTCTTGTTCATGCTCTCTGTATAATTCTTTTGGGACGTTTCTTAGAATTGAAGGATGTTTACACCAGTCTGAATGATGAAACATGGCAGCTAGTCCATGTGCGAACCACAGTGTGGGACATCAAGTGAATATTTCTGAACAGTGCCTGTTTTTATCGGTGCCAGTAAATGGCACAATTGTCAGCTTTAATTTGGCTTTGCATGTTTTGCCTAACTGTGATATTTTTAACATCTGTTTACGTCCTAATGACTCAAGAACAAGTAGATTATTTGCTGTAATGACTCAGGCACAATCACCAGGGCTGTTTTGTAACATGCTACAGCAGCTTCCAAAAACAGTTTGTTAGATAATTGTTTGCAATTTTCCCTAGAAACTATTCAAAATGGAAAGCTAACCTGACACGATTCGATAATATCAGCGACAAGCAATTTGTTTGTCCACACAAGAAGTGACACAGCTACAAAACACGACAAACGCAACAAACCACAGCCAGTGTGTGGGTGGGCTCTCTATTGCACCAAAATGGTTAAGTACTTAATCAAGTTAATGTAAAAAAAAAAGTTAAATAATTAAAATAATATGAACAGGGCCATCTTACCTTATTGTAAAGCAATGTTATTTTAGTCTAGGTACTATTATAGTTTTTGTTAATATTTTGAATTATTTTTATATTTTCTGCTGTCATTTTCATTTTAGTTTAAGTTTTAGTAATTGTATTGTTTGTTTGTTTGTTTTTGTTAGTTTTGTTGTTTTTAAATTTATATATAGTTATTACATTTTATTTCAGTTTTAGTGTTAGTTATTTTAGAGCATCAAGATAAACTAAATGAAAACGGAAATGTTGCCTTCTCAACTAGCTAAAATAAAACAGTTTAAGTATTTTACTTCAGTTAACATTTATTTTATTTCAAGTAACTAAAATGTTTTTTGTAATATTTTTAATTTTGGGTTACTATAATAACCTTGTTGTAAAAAATGACCAAACTATCTTAATCAGTATTTACTCAGTATTTGTCTTTCAATACATACAGTGGTGTGAATAAGTGTTGGCCCCCTTCCTGATTTCTTATTTTTTTGCATGTTTGTCACACTTTAATGTTTCAGATCATCAAACAAATTTAAATATTAGTCAAAGATAACACAAGTAAACACAACATGCAGTTTTTAAATGAAGATTTTTATTATTAAGGGAAAACTAAATCCAAAACTACATGGCCCTGTGTGAAAAAGTGTTTGCCCCCTAAACCTAATAACTGGTTGGGCCACTCTTAGCAGCAACAACTGCAATCAAGCGTTTGCGATAACTTGCAATGAGTCTGTTACAGCGCTGTGGAGGAATTTTGGTCCACTCATCTATGCAGAATTGTTGTAATTCAGCCACATTGGAGGGTTTTCGAGCATGAACCGCCTTTTTAAGGTCATGCCACAGCATCTCAATAGGATTCAGGTCAGGACTTTGACTAGGCCACTCCAAAGTCTTCATTTTGCTTTTTCACTTTTTCACACAGGGCCATGTAGTTTTGGATTTTGTTTCCCCTTAATAATAAAAACCTTCATTTAAAAACTGCATGTTGTGTTCACTTGTGTTGTCTTTTACTAATATTTAAATTTGTTTGATGATCTGAAACATTAAAGTGTGACAAACATGCAAAAAAATAAGAAATCAGGAAGGGGGCCAACACTTTTTCACACCACTGTAAATATGAAGATATATTTACTTATTAAGCACTTTTAACAATAATTTAAACCTTTTAAAACTATTTAAAAGTTTAACCATTGTTTTCAGAATTTATTTTGAAAATTTAGTGAGCGTAATGCTTTAATAAAGCAAGAACACCTGGGTTATGAAAATCAAAGCGTTATTTCTTCTTCTTCTTCCTCCTCTTCTTCTTATTATTTTCAATAATAATACAGAATAATCTATTTTCTGGCCTGGCACGATTTATTCCTGATTAAGATGCAAAAATGTATGTGTATGTGTACA